ACATTTCATATGAAATATTTACTCTTTTGACTACTGACGATGGTTTGTTGATAAGAAGGTCCCTAAATGCGCATATTCCTTATGAATGCAAATAGTTGTCGAAAAAAAAGGACCGTTCGTAAAGAGGTAATTATTAAACCATTCTATCATCTAAGAGTGACTAAACAGTTTCAATAAAATTGTTTCAAAAAATAGAAAATTAGATGAAGCAAATCACTACTACTAAGTATCAACAGAGAAAAAATTGAGAAAAGAATCAAATGATACTTTCATACCGAGTACGAAAATGAATAGTTTTTGAATATTTAGAAAAGACACTCTGAAACCAAATTGAAAAGGATTGTATTGGATCGCAATAAACTGAGAGAAAGATATCACTTTCTTAATTGAATGCAATTCTTTTGATTCTTACTTTTAATTATTATCTTTCGTCTGTATTATGTGGAAAGTGCTATTGTTTCCGATACTTAATTGGAATTTTTGGAAAACCAATTTTATAATAAAAGAAAAAAAATTCAAAAGCAAAAGTTGTGGGCACAGCATAAGTTTTTATACTTTTTGATCGATTCGAAGCTAAGAATAATTTATGATAGTTTATCATTTAACAGGAATATTATTTATTCTTCATTGATGTAAATGATTAAAAAACACTCGCTTGACTTAAAACGTTAGGAGCTAATCGACCATCTATCAAAGACAATTTTCGTGACGAAAACACAAAGGTACTTTCAGTCACGAGGAAAAAAATTGTATACGAAAAGTGTTTAATCGACATTTTATATGGACTGTTCTTATTAGGAACGTTTTTGGATTACTACTGTTCAATCACGATACTCTTTCTGATATTTCTGCTTGCATTGAATATGCAGATCTTATGTTCAACAATCGTAAGAAAATGCATTCATTTAAAACCTCTGATGATAAAAACAATTGAAAACTCGCAGTGAAGTTTCAGTTAGTAATAAACTTTCTAGCGAAGGGCTTATTTAGAAAAAATGAGAAGAACATGAAAAGAAAAGTAAAAACAAATACGTTTTTCACAAATCTCAACGACATGCTACTATGAAATTCGTTGAAAATACGAACTTAGTTATAACATCTTTTTGATTGATAGACAAATCAATTCCTTTTTTAATACAGTCTTAAATACTTCATGCAAAAAATCAGAAAAAAACAGAATTATTGAAAATGTGACTACATTATCTTTTTTTTTCATTTACTAATCTTGATAGTGGAGTCTGTGACACAAAAAGTAGAAAGAAAGAAGCTGGTCATTTAAGAAGCGCAATCAATCCATTCTGAGAAACTCAACTTAGTGATTTTTATTTTGTCGTTTTCAATGTCAAACATCAATTTTAAGCGAAACTGGACCATTTAATCCATTCTAGATTCTACACGATGATCAATTTATGTAAGATAATTTTATCCATCAGATTTTATCCCGATAACCTCAACGATAGAGAGCCTTTTTATGTAAAATATCACACATTCACTTTAACACTCTTACTCAACTTATATATATATAATTGAACCTCTGTTAGTGTTCTATCAAATAGTGTGTGAACATTAGAGAAAAGACTATTCATTGTCTTTCCTTATTCAGAAATATGAAGAATGACATATACCAATGAAAGAACCGTCATGACCAACAGCATCTAATGCACTTCTGCACTGATAGCGGTCCACTTTAGTTCATATATCAATAGATAAATGTTTTCAGCAGCTCTCAAACTATGCTAGAAATCCATAAAAAAGAGATATCAAGGATGTCCAGTTTTCGAAATATTCAAATGTAGTGTATGTTGAGTATTCATATATTTATGTTATGCTCATTATAGATGGTTTAGTTTTGCTTAAAATTTATGTCTGACATTGAAAGCAACAAAATGAAAATGAAAAAGTTGAGTTCTGAGAAGAAGAGATTTATTTTACTTCTTAACGACCTCACCTCGTTTGTTGAAATATCTAATTTTAAAGATACGAAATCATAAATACATTTGAAAATCTTTGAAATCTATGAGGTTTGCTCTGATTTATTATTAAGCATTGATTGCTACGAATAATTAGTTACGATAGGAAAAAAGTATTCATGGCTAGTGGATCGAAATTTGCTTCTGGCACTTGCAGATAAAGTGTTTTTGGTTTTCAAGGATATATATCTCAAAATGTATGAGAAAGAAGCGACCAAAAGTTTGAGTTTGGTTAGGAAAATTTCTTTTCTGGTGCTTTTTAGGTTATAGCAAGTCAAGTATTTTGGATCTTGCAGAAATTATGGCTGAAGCTGCGACACCATATTTTCCACAATATATTGTCAAAGAAGGCTCAAAAGAACAAACAAGAGAAGCTATGCTTGCAGATGAATGCGACTCGTGTATGACAACAACAAGCATTTTGGTGAACGAACAAAATGTGAAGCGGAATTCTGACAAGGTGGTATTCAATGATGGTACAGCAGCAGGTGTTTTAAGCAATCTGAAGGGTTGTACACGTACAATGCATCTACACGAGGCAGATGTAACATTAAAATCATCGGGATTTATGCTACCTTCTCCAATTGATATAACACCATCTAGAGTTGATCCTTTTCGTTCAACTCTTATGACTTTGCACGAAAAGCCTGGTAACTTTTTACGTGTATTAAAAAAAGAGAGAATTGATGTAACTGGTTCGAAGCTTAATATTTTTGTATGTAGCTGGAATTTTTTGGAAATACATTTATTTAGGAATATTTTTTAGGGAGCGTCGACGGGTGATTTAATAGCTGCTGAATTAGCTAGACAGGCGGCGTCTATGGCAACGGATGCTCTATTCGAACGCTTCATTCTTTGGCCAATAGATGGCCAACCTATTCCAAATGAAGATTGCATCCCGTGTATTGACTTTTCACAATATCCTTCTTTGGAACAATTTGGAGTATTATGTGGATTCTTTAGCAATTTAAATTTGGATTTGGAACCAGAAGGACGAGCTATTTTAGCTGAACAATCTTTTAACTTCAGAGTTGCTGGTATGTACAACAAGTGTTGTTTGTAGCAGTCTAATACATTAAATGAGATCAGAAACAGGAAGGTTATGAGAAGATTATGTAGTTGAATATGGTTGATTACATTAAGGTCTAACTTATTCTTTTAAAATTCTAGGAAGTCAAGAAGGTGTTAAGGACAACGTTTCAGCTCGTTTGAATAAAACTGCTTTAGTTTGTTATCGACTTACTGGATTGTGCGCCTTAGTTGAGGCAGCCTTTGATATGGTAGCTGAATATGTAGAAGAATATGTTACGTTTGGTGCAGGTGAAGCTGATGAAGTCTTTTTTCATCGTGCTACCAAAATTGCTGAACGCAAATACGGTCCAATTATTCGGAAAGAACAACGTTTGATGGTTGATGCAAACATTTGCAAACGAGCTCATGATGTTACGGTTCAGAATCTGGCACAATATATGACTCTTATGAAAATACAAGAAGAAGACAAAAAAAATTGGTTTACACAAGCTGGCCGAACAATGAAAGCAATGATGCGATTTATTACACCTGAAGATAGTACTGAATTAGCTGAATCAAAGAATACAAATGAAGTTTTAGTTAATAATGGGCACAAAATTGGTTGGCCATTGACAAGAAAACAAGAAAACATGTTACGTAAGGCTGACATCTACAAAGTTTCCATCTTGCTGCATCCTTCTTTGGTTTTTATCAAGAGTAGTCTTTATGCGAATAGTTCTCTAAAAAAAACTACGTCGATCTTAGAAACAAGTTTTATAAAACCTTTGGTGACCGATGGCTATCTTGTTGCAATATCTAATGGTCTTGTTTATCAAAAAACCAAAGCGACTGTCTATATCAAAATGGTGCCTACTGCTGATGAAGAATCAAAAGAAACATTTAGTACTCGTTTAGCGAGTTTTCGTGATGCAAGACTCAACTATGATACGTATTTAGCTTCATGTAGCAATATTTCATTCTACAGTGCTGGTGTAATTAGTGAAAAAGTGTTCGAGATCCTTCGATTAGAACGTTATCGAAGTTTAAATATTGATATTTCATCTCTTGTCCAACGGGTTTCACATGAAACACAAAATGAAAATTTGAGTAAGACAATTATTTTTGTTTTTATATAGTACAATAATCCGTGTATTCATAATTACAGATCATAGTTGTTCCATATCAATACAAGAGAATGAGTCAATTTGTAGTCAAAATATTATAGCAACTAGTGAAGAAAATTACTCCATCGACCAATCACGAGATGCAGAAAATATTGAACATCATGGGTTAAATATATTCAACTTAGTTGATATTTTTTCTGAAAGTATGCTTGAACCGTTTGTTGATAATTTGATTAATACGACATAAATCTTATTTTATTTAGTTGATGATGAAAGTAATTCAAGTGCTTCTCAATTAGTCGTCGTAAATGAAGAAATAGTCGAACAACAATCTGAAATAATTGGTGTCGAAACTATAATGGTGAGCGTTTATCGAAACTAAAAAGATTTTTAAATAAATGTTCAAAAAAAATGTGAAGACATAACACATCTAATATGTTCGGGTTTAGATAAGCCAGAATTCTGAAACCAAACGAAAAACAACAAACCATAAAGAAATACTTGATGAACAACTCTCACAAAGTAAGTGAATTTATTGTATTTTAATAAATTTTTATTGAATATGCATGTATAGATGAAAAGTTTTCTGAAACAATCGCCGAGCGAATACGTAATCGACAACGAAAACGTGTGAAAACATCAGCAAAATGATTATTTGAAAGTATTCAATTTCACTGGTACTGGCTGTTACTGTCGTCAGATACTAAATGATTTATTTTTGTCATGATACTTTCGCTATTTTTTTTCATTGTGATATTTCAATGTTTTTTCGTCATGATCCTTCATTAGTTTCTTTTCATAACACTTCTATTTGATTTTTCTATTTGTTGCATAACAGGAGACCCAACTTCATTGAAAGTTTTAAATTATAGATTTTAAGCATATCTGCCACATCTCATTTGGAACAGTGCGCCATAAATGTCTCAATCAACAAATACGAGCAAATATGATGTTTTGCTCAACAAGTTTCTGGAGAATGATAATTTGTTGGAAGAGAATGAAGGCAAAGAAATGGAACGTTGGCTAAACGAAGCTGAAAGTAATATACGTGTTCGGTTTCAAAGTCATCGAGGTTAGGCTATAGAATAATTCTTTTTTTTTTTTCAAGAAAATATGTTTGCTTCTGTTTGTTTAGGTAATGCGTTACAAAGGAATAGTTTCAAGAATAAAGATGAAGCATCTCCCAACACAGCAAATCATCTAGAAACTGCTATGTGTATATCACTTCCTAGTGATTCTTCTGATGATGATTCTTCTCCAAAAAATAAACAAGTATTTTTTTTTCGCGCTTCATTCATTAAAAACATAGTTTATGTTATTTTTTTACAACAGATCAAAAAACGTTTACACGAGAGCTATTGGTCCGAATCAGAATCACCACTGGCAAAGCGAGCAGCAACGGATCAAACTTTTTTGAATGATGCTTTGGGTATTGAGACGATCTCTCTCTCATCTGGCTTATTCTCCAGTCTTCCAAATCAATCGCTTGGTTGGACGAGTAATGATGTCACTAAAATGCCAACCAATCTGATCGGATCACCTCGTTTTGAAACCAACGCGTTTATATTTAATATGCCTGTTCATCCAGTGAGCTGTCAAAATTCCGACTCAATCCTAGAACAATCGAATGGGACCGATGCGGCTCCAAAACTAATGTTTATGGACAGCTTGGCCACACTAAAAGCATCTGATCAATCATTATTAAATTCTCATATAAACATGAACAAGAGTCTGGTTCCATCACAATTGGTGATGACAGTGAATCTTAACAATACAAATTCCATCTGGCCAATTGGAACTTCATATCAACCAGATTTCGTCGAAATCGTTGTTACTGACGAAGAAATGAATGCTTATTGGGATACCTTAGAAGGCTCATTTTAAATCTTTCATTTATATGAGTTTTTATTTTAAGTTTTTAAATAAACATCTAAAGGAGAAGTTACAAGAAGACAAACGTTTTTCTTTATATTTAGATGTTAAATCTGCATCATAATGTTAGTCGAACTCGTTCAGAGGATATTAAACAATTGATTGAACTATACAGCATATTTCATCCTCAAGAACTACATTTTCTGATTGAATTGAATCAACGCTGGTCTGTGTATGATCCAAATAGAATTCAAAATATGACTGCCATTATGCGAGAAACTTTTGCTTCTGAACACAAACATTCAGATGTTGAACAGATAATAAAATATTTCAGTTCTCACGGCTCAATCCAGCTTTTTTCTTCGATAACTGTCGATATGGCTCTTGCTCAATTAGATCAAGCATTTCATCTGAACCCATTTGAATCTAGATGCCCTGTTTGCTTATCTACTCTCGATGTTGACATGACTGATGTTTTACCTGTTCAAGTATACACTCTGAAAGGTGCAATTCATAAAGGTAAAAAGAATGTTTCTCGTAACAGATACTGAATTAATACTGCTTTCATTTTTAGGCAAAGTCTTTTTTGTCTCATGCAAACATACTAACACCTCTTTCGAAAAGCACCCTATCGTTTATGTTTACCCTAACTTTTTTCGACAAAACAACATGATTACATTTACATCGGAAAGTTTGCAAAAATACGATATGGTATATCTGGGTGGTCAACATGCATTTGAGCGAGCATTAATAGAAAACTATACATGTCAACTCATAAGCAAAGCTAGTTCGTGGCAGAAGTTTGTTGATGGACTTAATCTGGGTGCATTTAACTCGAATCTGACCGACAAAAAAGTTGAGTGGCGAAAAAAGCTTGCAATGGTATTTATTAAATACAAGGTGGTTGAGTTTGATCTGTGTATTGGTTCGTCAACAGTGTCGATACCGAGTTCAGCTCGTGAATTCGATGAATGGGTCTGGAATCAATACCCACGCCTTCTTTCATCATTTGTTTATCTGTGGAGCAACCACAAAACTCTTATTAAACCTTGTGGATCAAATTGCAGTCAATGCATCATCATCGATGGTCACCAAAAGTGTCGACGACGTGTTTGTCGGGCCAAACATGTTCAGGTTTCAACGGAAGAATTCGCTTCATTAACCGTTGGCTGCTGCCGAACACCACGTCTAGGATCACACTTTTGTGAACTTCACCAAACTTTAGATGAAGAAAGTGTTACACCATCCTTACCGACGAAGCAAAAAACAAGCAAAAAGCGAAAAATTATGAAGAAAATAGTGATGGGAAGGTATCGGCAGCGTGGATTTGGTGCAACGAACTGTCGAACGATTAAGGAACGATCTGAAACATACATTGAACGCTGCAGCAGATCTTTTGGTATACTTGCCGCTGTGACAAATTGCAAAATTGTCGTCACATTTTCAGAAATATTTCGATCAGAAACGCTGCGTGAAATCATAAGTCTTCTATGTTCTACAATTCGCGGTGAGTATATAATAAAACATGTTCATTACAGAACTTCATTTGAAATGAACAAAAGCCTCCACTAGATATTGATTCATATACCTGTAAAGGCCAGCAGTGTTACATATCGGGGAATTTGGAGATGCACTCACATTCCCCGCGGGAGATGTGTCATCTCCACAGAGCGATGTGAGTTCATCTCCAAATTTCAGGATATTTGACACTACTCGATTTTTAGCATCAAACTTCAACTTTCCGAAATGTGGCGTCTATGACGATGGTTGTCACTTAGTGGAATTTATTCGGAATCATTATGGTCAGGATCTGAAACGTACATCCGCGTCAGCATTACTGTATGAAACTCAATTTAGCGTGGACCGAACACATTTTAGGGGACATGTCGGGCGGTGGTGTAGAGCCCATATGAATCCCTATAAAAATAAAAGTGAGCTCTTTCGATTCCACTTACTTAAGGATCTCCTTCTCATTTCACCAGTGCTGAATGGTATTAACACCCAAGCTGCTGAGCAGCTATTTTCTTGGGTGAAAAATTACGCAAACATTCTAAGCAGCCTTGGCTGGCGGAAAATGCCCATCTACTTGTTATTACTGTTTCATTATAAAAATCTCGAACGAATGAGTATTCGTTCAACCCATATATTCAACATTGTGAGTTGCATAAAATACTTTTCAAAGCTTATCGAGTAATTTCAGGTGTCATCCGTTCCGCTCGTGTCTACGATCAGTCTTGCTCATACGGCAGATCTTCAACAAGTTCTTCAATACGAAGTAAGTTTAGTTAATATAAAGAGGTTTCAATCAAATCTAATTTCAGGAAGATATGAAACAAAAGAATGTCGCTTCTACCACGTCAGCTGAACCTTCGTCAAAGGTAAGGCAACACATGAACAGAGTAGTAACCTTTACTAAACATTCACTAAAAGAAAGTAGTCAAAATGAGCGGCACCAACCAACAACCATCAAAACAACAGCTGTCGACAAAACCAAAATTCAAAATAGCCGATATGAATACCGTACAAAAGTTAGTTGAAAAAATGGAACAACTCGCTCAGATTGAAGAACACAAGAAGACACGAAAGCAAAGCCGCCAACAACACCAAAATCAAGCACGCATTAAGAACACTCAACGATAAAACAAATGTAACTTTTATTATTTCGTGTTTGATTTTTATCATATACCCGATCGATTTTCCATTCCCTTATCTATTCACTTTCATAAACAAATACTATGCAAAACCA